GGTGGGTGGGGGCAGCGGCGTGCGCGTGCGCACCTCTGGCCGGCCAGCAGCGCGCCGTGGACGGGGTAGCGGCCGAGCTCCTGCCCGTCTGCGGCGACGACCTGCAGCTCAAGTCGCTGAGGAAGCCGTCCCTGAACAATTCACTGAAGTCCATGTGGTGGCTCGGGCTGGCGGGCGCGCCGTCCGCCGCGTCGGCGGGCCCAGGCGCGGCGACGCCTGTGGCGGGAGGGGCAGGCAGAAGCGCATGCGAGCTGGGGGCCGGGAGCGGCGCCTCTGTGCAGTTTCAATTTGAACAGTAGGCAGGTACAGCTGCTGAGTTGCTGTGTTTGGTGGGCAGACGTTGTGTGACTTCCACATGACTCATAACAAAGCGAATGTTCTCACGTTTCCGTAAGTGACTGGTGCGCCGTTCACCCGCTTCAAGACCACCGCCGCCGTCGCATCTAAGCGGCTGCGCAGCCCGTCGGAGAGGGGGCGTGCCTGTAAGATGTCGGCACGTTGGCGGCCCCGCCTGCGAGTGTGATGAGATGCACGCATGAGTTCTGTATGACGTGCATACGCACCACAATCATGGTGTGAGCTCAGGAGCCCTATCCTGATGTGCTCGCAAGCATTGACAGCGTCAAAGCGGAGAGCGCAACGCGCGTGCACGCGACGGCGTTGTATCAATGAGCAGCGCATCTGAGGCGCCTTCAGATCTTGGGTTCAAGGCAAATAGGTATGAACAACCCGCATCAGCCGCGCCCAGCGGGCGCGTACTGTAGGCAGTGCGCGCACCACAACGCTGCTGCCCCATGTGACCAGCGTCGCAAACCTCTAAATGCAAGTGGAATCAATCCTTCTCTCCTCTGATCGCCAAGAGTTGATGCGCTGAACCACGTTCAGGGTCACTCGGGATCACCTCATCAAGCCGTGCTTGATGACAAAGCTCGCAGGATCCTTAGAAGACGTTTTATGTTATAGACGTGATTGCTACAGCGTGGCGTTTATTTTCAAAGACCGCTGAGGTCGTTTAAACCACGCGACCAGTCGGGTAGCGACGCCTGGCGCCCACAGTGCCGCCAGGCGCGATCGCAGCGGCGCGACAGGCCCCCAAAGCAGTGAAGGCACCGGCTGGGCTATCCCTCGCGGCAGCAGGACGCAAACACCGCCCCGCACCCACATGCAGAGCATGCAGCAGTACGGGCCGCCGCGCATCTCGGGGCGGCCCCGCTTGCGCCACCCCCCTGGCGCCACGCCCGCCGTCCGATTGGCCGTGGCACGAGCCGCCTCGTCAGCAGCGCCAAACAGCGGCATGGCCCTCCTGCGCGAGGCCCTCCGCGCCAGCCAGACCCCGGAGGAGGTCGCCGCCCTGGTGGAGGCAGCCTACCAGTCGCTGCTCCCAGAGCTGCCCGCAATTACCGCCGCGCTGTCTCGAGCCGCCGCGGCGGCCGCCAGCACAGGCAACGGCGGCATCGGTGGCGGGGCCGGAGCGGCACGGTCCGAGCCCCGCCGAGCAAGCCCCTGGGGCGGCTTCACAGGGTCCCGCAGGGCCGCAGGCGGCGGCGGCAGCGGCGGCAGTGGCAGCAGCTCAGGTGTGGGAAGCAGCAGCTACACCAGCGGCAGCGCGTTTGGCATCGGCGGCATCAGCGGCGCGGCGGGCGCTGGCGCTGTGCCATCACAGCAGGAGCAGCCGTGGTCTTGGGAAAGCGTCAAGCACCTACATGCCTATGGCCTTGGATCACTCTTTGAATACAGCGCGGCCGCCCGCCCAGAGTCGCGGGCGCCAGGCGCGGCGGCAACGGCAGCCGAGGGGGCAGCAGCGGACGCCGCCGCGCCGCGGCGCGGGGGCATGCGGCTGGCGCAGTGGGCCCTCGTTCTCCTGCTGCGGCGGCAGCTGCTGCCGGGGCTGGCCGCCGCGCCGCGCGTGTCGGACCCAGCCTTCAACAACGCTGACCTGGCGGTGCTGCGGTTGCTTGGGCTGGAGGGCCACAGGAGTGAGGCCCTGCTGAGGTGGGCCCCAAGCACCTGAGCGACGCAAAAGTGACTGTTTGACGCAGCAAGACCCCCCATGTCAGGGAAAGGGTGCGGAAATGGTCGTCACCACAAAGCAGCTCACTGCGATGCAACCATGGTACGGGTCTGGCTGCCGCCGCGCGCGCACACCCATCTCAACCCTGTGCACCCAACCCTTGCATCCACTTGGGCAGTGCCTAGTCACCGTCCCTTACATGCTTACCCACCCACCCCTGGCGTCCCATGCAGCGCGCCCGATCGCACCTTGGTGTACGCGCCCTGCTGCCCCCGCGCCGTCTATTCGGGCCTCGTGCGCGCCAACTGGAGCGTGGAGCAATTGTCACGCATTGCGCTCATATCCACGAGCCTCTCCAGCCAGGCGGCTAGCATTTCGCTTGTCGCGGCACTCGAGGGCAGCGGCAGCAGCGCCATCAGCCGGGTGGATGGCGGCGCCGGCGCCGGCGCCGGCGGCGGCGGCGTGGGTACGGGCGGGGGCGAAGAGGAGCTGCACTCGCTGCTGCACCGGCGGGGCGGCGCGGTGGAGGCGCTGCTGCCGGACGCGGGCGGCGCCCACGGCGTCGGCACCAGCGTGCACCTGTTCCCTCGGGGCCGGCTGCTGCGCACGGGGCTGTTTGGGGAGAGCAGCAAAGATTGACGTTTGCATACTTTGCCGGCGGCTGACCCACGTTGATGATGTTGAAGCTGGCAGCGCTGCTTGGAACAGTCTGTGATTGAGCCTATCAATGACTGACCCTGACTCGTGTGACCAGTTGACCGCGTTTTTGGGCCAACACAGCAGAGCAGGCGGGATTACCAACATGAAGCAAACGAACACACAAAATTGTGGAAGAGTCCTGGTCAAACATACAAAGGGTTATTGAATCTGCATGTACAGAGCAGCAGAGCGCGATCCCTTCCAAATGCGAGGTTTGGCAGATGCAACTGTTTCAGTTGTGGGTGCGCGATTGTACAAACAGAAGCATGCAGAAATTGCTGTGCTACGGGCTCATGGAAAAAGGTGTGGATTACGAGCAGCAAGCTGCTGCTACGCGCGGGCGCTCCTCTTGGCCCCCTTGAGCGCCGCCACGATGAGCTGCGGTGTAGGCATGTGGGTGCAGCGGGCCAGCATCGTTGGTTTGTGCATGGTGCAGATGAAGCCAAGAAATTGGCGAGCGACACTCACAGATCAAAATGATATGATTTATCACAAGGCAGGGCGTGCAAAAGGACAGAAAAAGATGCTCGCGCGTTGGTGTTCAACCACAGGTGCGTAGCGGGGCCAGTGTGCCATCAAAGGACCCCACCTTGTACTCTGGCTGGCGGGTGAACGAGGGGTCCAGAGCCACGGCCGCGCCCAGCGCTGCGTCCGCCTCTGAGAAGCGGCCCAGGGCGTACAGCGCATCAATCAGGCGCACGTGGGCCTGGGGGCGCGGCAGGAACGGGGCAGGCGGGGGCGCAGCGGTGCGCGGTAATAATAGTCCTGTCAGTAGCATCACACTGAAGCCACCCTAAGCTGACCCCTGCTCTATTGTGGGAGCGCTGACAGCCAAGCGTTTCCGTGATGTACACACACAGCTCAGCGAATTCATGCTGGCAAAAAGGGCCCATGCAGGCGACCGTGACACGCAGGGCGATGGGATTGGGACCGCGGTGGGGCTGGGGTTTGAGTTGAGTTTTGACTTATGGGTGGCAGTCGCACTGGGGGTTGGGAGTTGGAAGTCGGGATTTGAGACGAGGGTTTGCATTGGGGTAAGTGTTGGGGGTTGAGTGGGGTTTGGGGGTTGGTGTTGGGGGTTGAGTGGGGTTTGGGGGTTGGTGTTGGGGGTTGAGTGGGATTTGAGATGAGGGGTTGAGTGGGGTTGGGCGGTGGTGTGCGCACCTTGTGGAAGCCCCTGGGTGCGCCCTCCACCGCCCGCCGCGCGGCGGCAAGCGCGTCCTGGTGGCGCCGCATGTGCATGTAGGCAGCCGACAGGTTGCTGTGCACCATGTAGGCGCTGCCGGCGCTCGGGCTCGCCTCCAGGGCGGCCTCGTACCTGGCCGGGCGGGGCGCAGCGCAGCGGTGACTTCGGCGGGGTCCTCGCTGCCAGGGCAGAGTCTCTACTTGCACCGCGTTGGTGCAGGGCGATGGCACGGCAGCGCTGCTGCCAGAGGGGGAGAGGTCCGAGCAAGGGGCGGGGCCTGTGCATGCGAGGGCCCTCACGTGTTGACGGCGCCCCCAAAGTCCCCCGCCATGGCCAGGGCATTGCCCGCTAGCCGCAGCTCCGTTGCCTTCAGCAACTTGCATCGTGTGTGTCGGGAAGGGGGGGGGGTCAGGTTGTGACAATCCGAGAGCAACGATAAGGCGGGAGCTTCTGGGACAGGCTACGATTTCAGTGCAAGGGCGCGCCCGAGGCCGCTGCTCAGGCCGCTCGGCAAGAAACATGAGGCGCCTGCACCTGGTGTCTCCCCTGCTCCCGAACAAGCAACACCTCAGCACGCCTGTCCCCCAGCACGCAGCCATGAATCACTTGCCGCGTGCAAGCGCTCTGGGACCGATCCACCTGCCCACCTCCTCCCCAACGTCTGCGTCGCAGAACGCCCGCAGCGCCTGCGTCAGGTCCGCCGGCGTGCTGACGTGGCGCAGCACGATCTCGTCAGGCAGCACAACCAGGTTGGGCCCGCTGCCGCAGTTGCCCAGGCAGCCGCCAGCGGTGATTTCGACGCCCCTCAGGCCCAGGTCCTGGCCGAAACGCAGGACCTGGATAGGGCCAGCGGAGAATGAGGATGTTGGGTGGGAAAGTGAAGGGCAGGGCGAGCGGCGCTTGTGCGGAGGAAGCCGAAGATACTCTCAGACCCATGCACAAGCCATGGCCATACCCATAGCTTCCGTTGCGCAAAGTGCTGAGCTCCGGTTGTGGAGGGGGTATCTCACCTGCTCTGCCCCCTGCTTCTTGCAGACCTTGCTGGTGCACACGCGGACCTCTCGCACCTCAGGCTGCGCGGTGGAGGAGGCACCCAAGTCCTGCGCAGCAGCAGTGCGCCCACGCATGGAGCTTGCGAAAGCCATGCAGCAACGCGCATGGAGCGTCACGCATGCGAACAGGAGCAGCAGCCAGTGTACCAATGCCCATAAAGAGTGCTTATCAGCTACTCACGTTCGTAATGGTCAGCCGCGCTCGCCGGCCGGGTCGAAGGGCTGCGGCTGATGCTGATGCTGCACGCCGCCTGCCCTGGCACCGTCCACAAGTTGACGCATGGGCGCCCGGGCCGCTGTGCACACCCAATATCATGTCTTGATTTGACAAATAGGTGATGATGGCGACCTTATAGCAAGGTTATAGCAAGGTTTGCGGCTTTCGACAATGTCTCGGGTGCGCAGAGCGTGCAGCGCGGCGTGGACTTTTATCACAGCTCGAGAACCACTAAAACAAATCAATCAGGGCCAAGCGCGGCTCGAAAACTCTGCATACGCTGCTGTAGTACTTCAAGTCTGCACCGAGCATCGAATCGGCACAAACAAAAGAGTGCACTACTGGTGACATTTGGGCTTCCTGGAGCACATCTGAATTGCTGTCATTGCTGCCTCCATCGCGACTCTCTCATCTCACCGTCGTAGATCGCGCAAAAAACTCACTGCGTGAGCACACCTCATTACAGGTAGCGTCACAGCGGAACATGCCGGCAACTCTGCAGAGTTTGGGAGCTAGGGGCACCGCATTCAAGGCAGCGACCAGCGGCCGTGCGAGCCTCTCATCTCGCCCACAGCAGGCGCAGCAGCAGCGGCGGGCTCCCGTCTGCCACGGCCTTGAGCCCAGCGTCGCGGCGGCTGTGACGCAGCAGGCGATCGCCTATGCGGTGACTCTGGGCGCGGAGGGCGCCTTCAGCTACACGTCTGTGCCAGCGGGTGACAAGGGGCGGCCGCAGGTAGGGATCACAGGGCATTTTGGTGGAGGTTCAACAGAACCAGCCCGCTCTGTCGCTAACCAGCCAGCTGCCGCCTGATGGCGCGGTGGATCTAAGAGCGCGGGATTTGCAGGATGAGCGTATGCGGTTCATATGCGGTCGACGCCACTTGTAGCGCCCGTGCAAGCGCCCGGCCCCATGCATGCGCCTGGCCCCATGCGAGCGCCTGGCCCCACACAGAAGGCCTGCCATGTTCCGACCTGCACCCCCACACACATGCGCCACAACTTCCCCGACTCTTCTGCACTGCAGATCCCCTTGATCGGCGCCGGCGTTGCCGGCACCGCAGTGGTGAGAGCGTGCACACCCCAGCCGTGCGCCCAAGCGCCTGCTTTCCCGGGTGGCGGCCCGGGCGCCAAATCACCGTTTCCCCCGCACCCGAAACGCGCGTCGCAGCCGCCGCCAGACCCTGAATGGCACCACCCTTGCCGCCCTCCCGCGCCCCTTGACAACACAACCACGTGCACGCACAAACCTCTGATCCGCATCTAAACCAATCCAGGCTGTCGCGCTGGTCAAGGGGGGCGGCGACGGGCCGCTCGCGTCAGCGGGCCTCATCCTCGGGTTTGCGGTTGCGGGCGCCATGCTGGCGGCCAGTGCGAAGCGCGCGGTGGACCTTGAGTATACCGATGGCGACTGGCCGGGTGAGGGGCAGGGCGGGGTTGGGGCCGCACGGCTGGGGGTTGGTGTTTGTGCGGGTACTGGGGGGCAGCCTAGCACAGGCTGATCTAGGGCCTGGGGCGCGTGGCGCGGCCTTGCAAACGTGGAGGGTGTTTTTTTGGGGGGAGAGCGAAGGCAGCAAATGGGAGGGCAGCAGCGCCAGGCCGGGGTGGGCGACCACCCTGATACACACAGGGCACCCTGGCGCACTGACAACGGCGCAGACAAGCAGCGCCGCCTGGGCTTGGCCCGGGCGCCGACAGCCGCCGCCCCTGCCGCCCCTCCGCGGCCCGCCGCCGCCGCAGGGCCCAAGGTGTGGCCGGCGACCATGGGCCTGATCAGCTTCTTTGCCCTCAGCGTGTTCTGGCAGGCCTTCTTTTCGGCGGCGTTTGCCAAGTAACCCAAGTTTTGACTCCGCGTCAAATGCACCCAGCTGTGCAAACCTGTTTTGTCAATTGTAACCAACCTCTATGCCTGGGCCCACACCAAAGTGTTGGTGCCAGGTGTTTGATTAAATGCACAAAAACCCACGAGATGCACAACATGAATGGATCTGACTTTTGACCAGAGCGCAGCGCCACGGGGCGCGTCGCCTTCAAGAGGCAGGCCAGAGCAGCACACCAGAGCACGAACGCACAGGCGCCGACGCGCTACTGTCATCCCCGGGGCCAGAACCACGCGACCAGCACGCCGGCGATCGCGATCGCCGCGCCCACCCAGTCGCCGACGTCGGGCATGTCGCCGTCGACGGCCGCTCCCCAGGCGTATGACATGACCACAAACACGCCCCCGTAAACGGCATAGACCCTCGCGAACGCGGCCTCGGCGGGCTGGAGGGTCGGGATGAAGCCGTATGCGCAGAGGACCGCGCAGCCTGGGGCGGATGCAGGGGCCGGGGGCGGGGAATCAATTGGGGTTGTTGGCAAGCGCATGGGCGGATCAAGGCCAGTATTTGGGGATGAACGCTGCAGCTGGCAGTCCATGATGTGCTGCTAGGCGGCCTGTGCTTGGGGCATGGGCGCGTGCACTGTCCTTGGAAGAGTGACTGATCCAGCCATAAAGAGCCGCTGCACCGCAAACACGACAGTTGCAGACGACAATTGCAGTCACCTGCCACTATCCACCACCATGGTCGCTTGTTCCTGACGCCCTGCCACACCAGCCAGCCCCCACCGATTTCTGGGTCGCGATGTGAAGGGGTGGCGGAACAGGGTTGTTGGGGAGAAGGGTGTAGGAGGGCGATAGGTTCTACTGGGGGCTCTGTCGGCATGCAAGGCGTGTCAAGAGTGTTGGCTGGTCGGTGGGCGGGGGAGGATACGCGCGGTGGGCACCTGCTAGCCCAGCGAGGATGAAGATGCCCAGTGTGGCCGCAACCTGCGGCGCAAGGCAGCCGGGCAGCGAGGCGGACGCCTGACGACCGCAGCGCAAGCAGTTGTCAGCACACATACACAAGCAGCAGCAGCAGCAGCAGCAGCAGCAGCAGCAGCAGCCTGGCACACAGCCCGACCCATCTCGGTTCTAGTCGCGCTACGCTCTGCCCACCTTTGCGGCCGTCCATTGTATCTTTGGGCTTCCCACCGCCGCCGCTGCTGTCGCCGTTGAGAGCGCGTGAGCTGGCCCTTCAGTGCCCGTGGCGGGCGCTGCCGCGGCTGCCTCATGCGCCGGGCCGGCGGTGCTGCTGCCATCCGTCACGCTAGCCTCGAAGTGTGGTCGCATGGCGCGCGGTCACTGGCAGCGGCGTGACCTCTGGGCACGGTTGGCAGTGCACATGGATGCAGGCGCAGGCACCCGTCGCCCGAGCGCGAGTGGCGGGCCCTGCGGAGTCAAGCCCCCTTTTGCTGGATGTATGAATTAACCTTGATGGCTCAGATAATATTTAGAAGACCAAACAATCAGCGCAGGCGTCAATACAAGACGCAATTGGACAAGCAAAGATCACGTTTTCTCGTATTCGCGCTCAACGTGACCAGCAACATGAAAAGAATACAGCATACCGGGCAACATATGCAGCAGCATGGCTCCATCAGCGAAGCGCCACTGTGGCAGCGTCGTCCACGCCGCAGCTTCGCGCGTGCTGCCGCCGAGCCGCACACTCTTGCGCCCTCTGAACGCAACGCGGCATTGGCGGCTGTTGACGTGACAGCGCCACCAAGCGGCAACCAGGCGGGCGGCGGCCAGCAGCACGAGCCGCAGAGATTTGGGGAGCAGGAATATAATCAAACTCGGCAGAGCAGGGAGAGGGACCTGTGGGCAGCGAGCGTTCGGTGAGCCATGCCGCGCCCATCCGCTGCACTTTCGTAGGCGCCTGCCAGGATGCCGATTAGAAATCCCGTATGTGGCGTGAGGGTGCTTGTGCGATCCATGCAGCTGTCATCATACAGCCACAGGGGACGCCGCGAGTGACGCCTGCACCCATCCTTCCCGCCCAACCCCCCAGCGCCGCCGGCGCGCAGGGCCGCCGCCGCCGCGCCGCCCCCGCTCCGCCTGGCGCCGCGCCGCTGCCCGCGCTCGACCCGCCGCCGCGGCTGGCCGGCGTGAGCGTTGTACTCGTCGAGCCCCTGCGGCCCCGCACTGTCGGCACCGTGGCGCGGGTCTGCGCCTGCTTCGAAGCCCTGGACCTCCATTTAGTGCAGCCGCGCTGCGACCACCTCAGCAGGCGCGCGTACGCCCCGCACGCGCTGCTCGCCCCCCATGGCCGGCCCGCCGCTTCCGCCGCATATGTGGAGGAGCACGTGAGGTCAACGCTGACGGTGTTGGCGACGGGGACAGGGCGTTTCTAGGCTTTGAAACAGGCTGCCTGAGCCCCTGCCTGCGCCCATCAATCCGGACCGTACCGCCCCC